TCAGATTAATCTCCCATTCTTTGTATTCTTTTCAATATTTTTAAGAAACGTAGCATACAAAAGCAATTCGAGTAATTATACTAATGTTTTCAGATGAAAAAAAATGATAAAATGTTGTTCATAAAACGTATATCATTTATTCTTCGAAAAACAATAAAATTGTGTGGAGATTTAAGCGAAAAGAAGTGGAAAGAAGTGAAAAGCGAATTCTACTCAGAAGTCGTGACGAGTGGAGCACAGCCTAGTCGGCAGTGAAACAAATATCATCACTGGCGATTGATATCACGAATGAATTTGAGTTAGAAATGTAAACCAATGAATGATGACACAGTAATCTAAATCTTAAGATCCTGATTTCGATCCTAAGTTTGTGATTGTGAGCACTATTGAGCAATTTCATACTAAGATAAAACAACTGTCTAGTGCTTTCTAGATTTCAAAGTTTGTCTAACTCGAATCAGATCGTTACGTAAAATATGAAATTCGACAACGTTCACTATATCGTACACTAAGAAAATAAATGCAGTTACCAATAGAATATCGAAGTGGCTATCAGTGATGATAGAGAATAATTCAGTATGAAAACAGTATTAGTATGGTGAATATGATTACTTCATTGTGACTAGTACAGGAGAGACGTTCAGTTGTTTTAATTCTAGCAATTCAAATTGCTTTACAAATATAAACCTTTCATAAGGATTGTTTGTAAACTACGAATTCCAAATAATCCTTAAACAATAATTAACAATTTAAATTATTTATTAAGTGTGGTTTGATAATTATAATCAGTTATAATTTAGCGATGTGTGAGATAATACTACCATCTGGCTTTACAAGTCCTAATTGGGTGATGTGTTTTGACTAAAGTAGTGATCTGTGTTGTAAGGTAATGAGCATTTTAACCGTTAACAACGTTCCTTGTAACATAAAAATTATTATAAACAGACAATGAATGAGAGTTGTACTATGTCTCGAATAGATCGATGTTAAAAATTAAAATAATTAAATCTAGACTTGGTGGTCTAAGGAGTAGTCATTCTTACACAAGACCAAAGGTCCTGGATTCGATTCTCAGATGTGCGGTTGAGAATATGCACTGCTGAAGCTTCCCATACTAGGATCAAACAGATATCCAGTGCTTCTGACTTTCTAATAGTAGTCGAAATGAGATTAGCTCGTGAATTAAACTGAGAAAATTGTTATTACTGGTAGTAAACTTTACCATCGATTAAATAGATTCATTTGCTTATCTGCGAAGCTTGAAGTTCTAGTAACTGTTTTTTCATTACTATTAATTAATTAATTAATCAAAAGTCATAAAATTCATTAAACCTGTAATTTATATGTTTTACTTTGCCTGCTTGTTGTAGAACTGAATGTGTCTTCTAGTGTTTATGATGTACATTGATTGTTATGTGACACAAGTTTGTGTATGCGGCTACGAGATACACTTTTTGTTCCTACTTAATTGGTCAGAAACTCCGCCTGTAGCTCTTCTAGAGTTACTGCCGGTCCCAAACCCGGGTAAAGGAGGAGGGTTGGGCATGGGGTTAGCGACCCCATCCCGTAGAAAAGCTAACTCGCTAAAAAAACGCTAACCAGAAAAAATAATTCAAACCATTTAAACTGTGCCCTGGGAGTTGAAGGAATAATTATGACGTCTTATGATGAAAGCCGAAATTCTTCGGAAGTCACGAGACCGATGCACCTTCTAACAACCAGAGCAACACTCTTTATAGGTACATGGAACGTCCGGACGATGTGGGAGACAGGAAAAACCAGCCAAATAGCAATGGAAATGAGAAGATGCAACTTGGCAGTACTCGGAATCAGCGAAACCCATTGGACACAAACTGGACAACAAAGGCTAGGTACAGGAGAGATGCTGCTGTACCCCGGTCACGAAGGGGAAAATGCGCCACACACTCAGGGAGTTGCTCTAATACTGTCCAAAGAAGCACGAAATGCACTTGTGGGATGGGAATCTCATGGACCCAGGATAATCAAAGCATCATTCAGAACAAAGAAGCCAGGGATCAAAATGGACATTATCCAATGTTATGCACCCACTAATGATAGCAACGACGATGATAAAGATCAGTTCTATGAAAGGCTGCAATCAATTATAGCAAAGTGCTCACGAAAGGACCTCACAATCCTGATGGGAGATCTAAATGCTAAAGTTGGGGTGGACAACACAGGATATGAAGATGTAATTGGACGACATGGATTAGGAGAGAGAAATGAAAATGGGGAGAGACTTGCAAACCTATGTGCATTCAACAAATTGGTTATAGGCGGCACAATATTCCCACACAAACGTATACACAAAGCTACATGGATCTCACCGGACCACACCACAGAGAACCAGATTGATCACATCTGTATCAACAAAAAATTCCGAAGATCAATGGAAGATGTGAGAGCCCGGAGAGGAGCTGACATAGCTTCAGATCACCACCTGGTTGTGGCCAAGATGAGACTGAAGCTAAAGAAAGACTGGAAAACTGGACAAACAGAACTACAAAGGTTCAATACAGCCTTCCTTCGAGATACTGATAAGCTTCATGAATTCAAGATAACTCTCAACAACAGGTTCCAAGCTCTACAGGATCTACTGAAAGAACAAGAAACTACTTTGGAGGACAACTGGAAAGGGATAAAAGAAGCACTAACTTCAACGTGTCAGCAGGTTCTTGGTCCTAAGAAGCATCATCACAAGGAATGGATCTCTATGGGAACCCTGGACAAAATTCAAGAAAGGAAGAACAAGAGACTAGCAATTAACAACAGCCGAACACGAGCAGAGAAAGTCAAAGCACAAGCAGACTACGCAGAAGCAAACAGGGAAGTGAAGAAAAGCATTAAAGCCGACAAGCAGAAATATATGGGAGAACTAGCAACGGTGGCGGAAAAAGCTGCAAGAGAAGGGAATATGAAACAACTATATGATACAACGAAGAAATTGGCAGGGAGATATAGCAAACCAGAGAGACCAGTCAAAGACAAAGAAGGAAAGACAATCACTGAGATTCAAGAACAGAGGAAAAGATGGGCAGAATACTTCGAGGAACTGCTGAATAGACCAGCCCCATTGAATCCACCGAACATCGAAGCAGCCCACACTGACCTTCCAATAGATATCACTCCACCAACGATCGAAGAAGTCAAGATGGCCATCAGACAAATCAAAAGTGGGAAGGCGGCAGGACCTGACAATATACCAGCAGAAGCACTGAAGTCAGACATTGAAATAACTGCAAATATGCTTCACCTTCTATTCAAGAAGATTTGGGAAGCGGAACAAGTGCCAACGGACTGGAAAGAAGGATATCTCATCAAGATACCAAAGAAAGGAGATCTGAGCAAATGTGAGAACTACAGAGGCATCAGTTTGTTATCAGTACCAGGAAAAGTTTTCAACAGAGTGCTGCTGAATCGGATGAAAGACGCAGTAGACGCTGAACTTAGGGATCATCAGGCTGGATTCCGTAAGGATCGGTCGTGCACAGACCAGATTGCGACACTACGGATCATCGTTGAACAATCAGTTGAGTGGAACTCATCACTATACGTCAACTTCATCGACTATGAGAAGGCGTTTGACAGCGTGGACAGGAGAACATTATGGAAACTTCTTCGACACTATGGAGTTCCTGAAAAGATTGTCAACATTATCCAAAACTCTTACGATGGACTACAGTGCAAAGTGTTGCATGGAGGACAGCTGACAGATGCATTTCCAGTAAGGACCGGAGTCAGACAAGGCTGTCTACACTCCCCATTCCTCTTCCTTCTAGTGATTGACTGGATTATGAAGAATTCGACATCTGGAGGGAAATACGGAATACAATGGACTTCTCAGAATCAATTAGATGATTTGGACTTCGCAGATGACTTAGCCCTCCTCTCTCATACACACGACCAAATGCAGATGAAGACATCAAATGTAGCAGCAGCCTCCGCATCGATAGGCCTCCACATTCACAAAGGAAAAAGCAAGATTCTCAAATGCAACACAAAGAACACCAACCCAATCACACTTGATGGCGAAACTCTGGAAGAGGTGGAAACATTCAAGTACCTGGGGAGCATCGTTGATAAACAAGGGGGATCGGATGCAGATGTAAAGGCGAGGATTGGCAAAGCAAGGGCAGCATTTTTACAATTGAAGAACATATGGAACTCAAAACAACTCTCAACCAATTTCAAGGTCAGAATCTTTAATACGAACGTCAAGACAGTCCTACTGTACGGAGCTGAAACGTGGAGAACTACTACGACCATCATCAGGAAGGTACAAGTATTTATAAACAGTTGTCTACGCAAAATACTCAACATCCACTGGCCGGATACTATCAGCAACAGTGTTTTATGGGAGAGGACAAATCAGCTTCCAGCTGAAGAGGAAATTAGGAAAAGACGTTGGAAGTGGATCGGACATACATTGAGGAAATCACCAATGTGCATCACGACTCAATCCCTAACTTGGAATCCAAAAGGGAAGCGGAAGAGAGGAAGGCCAAAGAACACACTACGCCGGGAAATAGAAGCCGATATGAAAAGGATGAATGTTAACTGGAAAGAACTGGAAAGGAAGGCTCAGGACAGAGTTGGATGGAGAATGCTGGTGAGCGGCCTATGCTCCTCCACAAGGGGTAACAGGCGTAAGTAAGTAAGTAAGCAATTGGTCAGAGAATAAAAACAACCCATCCACCACTAACTAGGAGTTTGTAACTAGACGGAAAAATCTATCAATTGCTCACTGGTCCTAATAGTTTTGTAGTTAATACCACAATTTTGGTAAAAAAAGTTTGATATAAAGTTACAAATTAATATGAGATGTTGGAAATTTAGGGATAATTCATTTTAAATATTCAAATACACTTTTGTGTACTCAGCTTCGAAACAATCTAAAATATCAAAACAGACAATTAAATGTATGTTTACAAAAATTCACGTAAACACATTCATATAGATCATTGAAGAAAAACACTTACCTGAATGTTTCCTATAATGTATTCTTAAGGCACTTGTACAATTAAATTGTTTATTACAAAAATTACATTTACGTGATTTACTGTTATCAGCTGAATTATTAGGTGAATTAGAACGTTTTCTTTTTGATGTATTGAAACTTCCACTTAATGTGGAATCAGTTAAATTCCCTCCCCCAACACCACCTACACCTTCTCCACCGCCACCACCACCTTCAAGATCACTGGAATAGTTTTCACTGTCAACACTTAAATGACGTGAATTATTTAATTTAAATGAATTTTCTGTGATATAACTATTATTTTTACAAGTTGATAAATTCATTGTAGATAACATTTGTGGATCAATTGAATTTGTTGATGTTTTCATATTCATTGATAGATTTGTATCTAATTCAGTAAATAATTGATTTAATGCACAATTCGATTGTAATGGATTAATAATGGAACGATTTTTAAAATCTAATTCTAAATTACACGGCCATATTGAATGTGTAGATAATGATGAGGGAGTTTTTTGATTTAAGTGACTCAACGAAGAATAATTTTGACTAATTGATGTTGTCATTGTTGTTGTCGCCATTGTTGTTGGCAAAATAGCTGATGGTGAAATTGATGATGACAATGACGGTGAGGAAGATGTAGGAGATTTTGTCAATGAATCAGGCGATATATTACATGCTTTGTTTATAATAAAATTCAAGGCATGGTCTTTTAGTCCAAATGAATTAGTATCGATATCAAGTAGTTTTTGAGCGATATCATTTGAAAGTGCTGCGCTACGTGGAAAATTTAAATGGTTATGTACATTGGTCAAACTATTCAGTAGTTTATTAAAGTGATTAGGATTAAGTTCGTTTATGTTGCTTTGAATAGCTGGTGTGTTATTGTTATCACTTTTATTAATAGTATTAGTATTAATAGTAGTGTTGGCAGTAGTATTGGTATTAGTAGTAGTAATGGTAGGTGGCAGTGTATTCATAAGGGTATTTAATAATTCAGGATTAGTCAGTGCAGCTGTTGCAGCTAACAATGATGGGTTCGGCAATGATTGACCAGGTGTATTGCCCAATAAAAATTGACTTAATGCCGTTACCATAGCTGCAGAGGCGGCGGCAGCAGCAGCAGTAGCCGCTGAATTCATATTAGTTGAATTCAATAACGAAATATTATCTATAGATGTATTCGATAAACAATTATCAAATGGATATGTTGTATTAGAATTTTCAGGTAGAATTTTATTTAAATCTGTTTGTTCAGTTGATTTTAACGTATTTTGTGTAGACGATGTAAATAAAAGAGGTAAATTTGAATTAATATCATTAAAAGATGTATTCGGATTGAGATGAATTGGATTAAGTGGATTTGAAATTGAAGATGATGGTAATAAACTGTTTGATATTGGACCAAGTTGAGCTTCTATTGGTATAAAAAGAACAGCCATAACAATAGTAAATACAGGAAAGATGACAGTTGAAATTATTATTAAATATTAAGTGAATTATTGCAGTAGATATTTAGAATCATTTCAACAAAAGCTACAAGCCTAATCTGTGTCTATTAGCTTATCAATTGTGTGTACCAATGATCAAGTCAAAAAAAACATCGCAATGAAAACTCTCAGATAATTTTGAAAATTGATAACTTTTCTAACTCTGACAGTGGTATACAGAAAGTTTAATACTTAAAAAAAATTTACTTTGAAGGTTGGAACTAAGCTATTTTCAACAGTCAACAAAATCTAGTTCCATAAATTAATGTATGATAACATTTAACGCATTTGATTACAGTCTTTTATCAGATAGAAGTCACAGAGTAGTCTTTCGTCAACGAACCACGATCTGCATCTAGGATTAAAGCAGCACATCAGTTACATCCCACAACATTAAATATTTTTATTTTAAAATGAGAGGTATAGTTCAGAAAAAAATTGGATTTTTTATAAACTTCCATTTTGAATAATAAAATATATTTTCCACCATTAACTCATATTAAGTTGAATTGTATTTTTCATCAAAGCAGTTCAACTTGTATTAAAATGTCAGTCTTAATTCTATTTCAAATGGGTAGTAACTGAATTGCAAAGAATTATCAACATGAAAGTTAAAGCCTATATTTGTAATAAGATCATTTAATAGTGTTTCAGTGAATAAAACAATTACTACTGTTTGTACTACCTACAATAATAAAAACATACGTCATATTAATCATTTACTATGTAAAAATCATTCAATATGATGAATTATATTAAAATATCATCAGTATGAGGTTGTGGAGATTGTTGAGTTTTTGATTGAGATCATGAATCGATCAATGTTAGACCATCACTGAAAATCTAAAAACACTGGACGGCCGTTTGATTGAAGTTAGACATTAACATCATTGGATGCTGGCTCAGTGGTCTAGGGGGTTAAGCGTCTGCGCACAAGGTCGAAGGTCCTAGGTTCGAATCTCACGAGCGGGATCGAGGATGTGCAATTTTGAGTAGTCCCATACTAGAACGGAACAGGCCCCCAGTACTTCCAGGTTTTCAATGGTGATCTAACATTGGTCGGTTCATGATCTCAGTTAAAATATCACTCTCAATCTTATCCAAATTGAGTAGATAACTGTAGAATATTGGAAAAATTAATACAGATTAGATATGACATTTAAATATGATATATATCTCCGAGTAAGTGACTGCAATCAAACTAGTACATTGACTGAAATGAAACGAATAGATTATTCAGGGATACAATAACAAACAACGAAAGTATATTGAGTATTTTCGAATTTTACGAAGTAGGCAGGTTTTAAATAATGACGATAAAGGTGAAAGTATGTGGGTGGGACGGTTCAATGTAAAGAAAAATTGAAACATTTAAGTTCTACTTATTTCTTCTATTTTTAGTCGCTTTTTGTGATTTTCTATTTCAGAGCCATAAGTAAAGATAGGACAGTTTACATAAAACACATGATCTTCAATGTTTAAATATCTAATTCTGTACTCTTCAACGAGCATATTCACCGTTTTTTTTTCCATAGAAACGTATCAAACGCATAAACTACTGTAGTAACACAAGATTTGATACGTAGTGTAGAAAATTTCACTTTGCATGTTATGTGGTCTTATTTGTCAGGATAGGTAGTTCACTGAGTGCTCTTAATGTTTTAAGACTGTTTTCCTCACGAAATGAAAACTGATATATAAAGAGTAACGTAAATCCATTTTGTCATAGTATATTATTCCTTATCAATGCACACCTACAGTCCCAAGGGATTCTAAAAACAGGATTTACAGCTCGTAAAGAAACTCCTAAATTATATGAAAATTTCCACAACATCGTTTAACTAAATAAGAATTGGGCAACTTTTTCTGGAGCCCTCCTAGGATCACAGTCATAAAGAAGTACGGATAAAGGGGAGGGTTGAGTATGGGGTTATCAACCCCATTCTGTAAAATAGAACATTGTTAAACAAGCACCAGACCGAAAAAATCATTTAAACCATGTTAACTCTGCCCTGGGAGTTGTACGGTCTTCATACGGAACAGTTATGACACCTCGTGATGAAAGTCGAAATTATTTGGGTGTCACAAAATCAATGGCTCTTCTGACAATCGAGTCCTAAATATTTTGGGTGTGTTCTCATGTAAGATTATATTGATGCAGATTTAACAAATCCTATACAATAATAAACAGCTGTCAATAGCTGACATCGGTTCATGATAAAAGTTATCTTTGATACAATTAATACTCCTCATTTGAGAACTATCACAATTTTAATGAAGTTCTATTGATAGATACCACCTCAACGTTCAATGACATAGAAACTTTGTTTTTAAATTATTAAAGTAATTTTATTCGTAATCAATCATCATGGTTTCATTAAATACAAATTTCGACTGACATGAATTCTTGATGTAGACTATCCCAGTTTAACGAACAGTACACATATGTTCATTTCCTTTGTTAATAATGGTGAGGTTACATCAAAGACACGTTTTGAAATATGGGTCGTAAAAACGTTTGGCTTCACAAACAAACAAATAAATATATAGATGCACAAATGAAAAACTAAATACACTGAATCAGGTTTAAACAAGAGAGACAAAGCAAGCTGACTTGAAGCATTTGCGTAATCTTTCCTACCACCTTTTTTATTTAAACACAAATAAACTGATCATGACAGGAATGGCAAACTAATTATTAAAAGAATTAAAAAGAGAAGATTAATTTCACATAATCATTAAAACTGACTATGTTTCCACGAAAAAAGAGGAATTATGTAGATTGATACACATTAGGAGTGATAGAGAGGAAGAGGAAGATAATTACTTGGTGCTGATTGACTAACTTTAATCTCTTCTCATTTTATTTTCATGCTTTTTTGTTTCTTTTTTCATAACATTTGATTCTTTCACTTCTCCCCACTCCATCCCCTGAAATCTGTCACCACCACTTTCTTAAAAATTGTTTTCTTACAAATTGACCTTATTTGACCCGTAAAGAAGGAGAGGAATCAGAAGAAAGAACAAAATTTAATGCTCACCTTTTATTTTTAATAAAAGAATATACAGACATGTTATTAATATGGATGGAGTGATGATAACGATAATGATAGTGATCCTAATCAATTTTCCCAGTATACACATTGATATTTTATTACATTTTTATATTTTGACTTAGTATGAATAGTAAAAAATAATAGGAATGACGTAAAAGCATATGTTCCATACTGATAAGTTGTATCTTTTAGCTCGGAAACTATTGAAAACTAGACTATAGTAAAAGGAAACTGTCTCATGTTAGATGATTGAATGCAGTAGGAAGGAAGTAATGATTAACTTACATTTAGTGCTGATTCCCATAGTTTGTGGTTGACTGGATTATGATGACCCCCACATATCAGGGGAGGTATGGTATACAATGAAAAACTTGGATAAAACTAGACAATTAGGACGTTGTAGATGACATAGCCCTTCTATACTGAAGACAACAACAAATGCATGTCAAAAAAAGCTGGCGTAGCGGCACCCTCCGGAGCAACAGGCCTCACCATACACAAGAGGAGAACTAAGACCATAGAATGCTACATCGAGAGCACCAACGAAACCACATTTGATACGGAATTCTTACAATTGGAGAATATCTGCAACTCAAAACAAATGTCACCCAAGACTGAAATTGGACTCCTCAATACACACATCAAGAAAGTTCTATGCTACAGAGATGAAAATTGGAGAACCACTACAATCCTCAACAAAAAGGTATAGGTATTCATAAACAGCTGGCAATGTAAGATAATCCGGATACCATCAGCAAAAACCTGTAGTGGGAGAGAACAAACCAATTCTCAACTGATGAGGAAATTAGGAATAGACACTGTAAGTGGGTAGGACACACCACACATTGAGAAAATTATCAATCTGTATCACAAAGCAACCCCTAACATGGAGCCCTGGAGGGAAAAGGGAAAGAGGCAGACCAAAGAACACATTGAATTAGGAAGTAGAGGTGAACATCAAAATAATGTATAGCACATGGGAATAACTGGAAAGGAGAGCCTATGACAGAGTTGGTTGGAGGATCGTGGTTGATGATCTATGTTCCAGGCGTAGTAACAGGGACAAATAATTAACCCATCACCAAAAATAGTATTGATTAACTTCAATCAAAGGAAAATATTCATTTTTATTGCATACATGTACTACAACCTTGCCAAGGAATATTCAATGATATGTATCGTCATTCCTCTACCCAAATGGCCTGGGAGTTTTAAGTACTACACTGGCTTGGTTACGCCCATCCACCAAATCAATATGCTATATAGCACAACTAACTAGACGAATGACTGTTGGACGTTTTTGTTTTTCTTCTGGTTTGGTGGATTTCGTGGGTCAAGTCTTTCCATCAGAACTCCAGGAAATCCATTTCAGATTAAAATACCAAACGGCTTATTATTTAATCAAATGGTTTTTCAAAACTTTTGGTATGAGTATGATTAAAATCATGGATTGATATGAGTTAGAGTTCCATCAAATGCTGTCGAGCGCAAATTTTTGTGTGTTCTAATTTGATTTCACAGTTTAACTAATCAATGATAAATTTCTTACCACTAGATTCGAGACGTCTGAGTTTGAATCATTATACGGTTAATGTTACATTAACTTGAGCCATGTGATTGGAAAAATGAAGTATTTACTAAAAAAAATTTGTTCTTGGTCATAAAGGTTTGAAATCTCCGTAAGACAACTTATGAAACTCAATCTAAATCTTTGTGTTTTGATTTGTATTGATTTAGAACTTATTACATGTTACACATAATGTTTAGTACATTTTTTATATTATCACTGAAATCATGTAATTGACTATCATATACCGACTTTTTCATATTTTAATCGTCTCAGTTGCTGAGTGGATAACACGATGGCGTTTGAAGCGAAAGGTACTAGGTTCGAGTCCCAGAGTGAACATCAACTCTGGGATGCAGGTATATCCAGCTGACGAGTCCCAAATAGGACGAAACGTGTGTCCTGGATTCCACTGCTAGCCACTATCCATCTTTGCTTGTAACAGAAATCGGGTTTCCATCTAATTTTAGTTTCATTCCTTACTTTTATTTTTAACCATGATACATATACATGATTCAATTGCATACAAAAAGTAGATGTATATGATGTCGAATTGTAAAGGTAGTGATTTATTTGAAAGAAATATCAGTTTATAACATTTGAACAACTATGAAGATTTTAAAAGTGTTAAAAAATGACCTTTGTTAATGTTGTTTTCTTTTATTTCTATCCTGTTATCCATAAATTTCATTTTTTGTTCAGGGTATAAAATTTATTTCAATACACTATGAATGGACTGTGAACGATACTGTTAAAATGGAAACGAATTTCGGAACAGAAACCGAGCTATCTGATCTATCATAAACGACCACAATAACTGGTTGTATTTTAACGAATATCACTGTGTTACATTGACTGAAGTATATAAAGGTAGTCGGTGAGGTAATCAGTCTGTTGCAATTTCATACTGGATTGTAATGTTTAACTGAGAGATGACTATTATTCTTAGTATAAGAACAAACCATAAAATTTTTAATTGAATCAAACTGACACACTGTTCATTAGCAGTATACTTTGAAATAATGAAAAAACCAACATTAAAGAGAATGCTTTTAATGGATAAGAAGTTCATAGATATACAGTAATAGGGTGATGTAAATAGTTACAGAGAGATACAAAATAAATACACTGATACCATTGCGTTCAGTTAAAAGACATATTATTTAGGGTTACCGGTTAATATTTTTCAATAACTGAGAGCTCAAGCCAATAAAACCGGAGCTTTCTCAAAAGCCCTATATCAACACTGCTTTCATTAATTGATACCATTCATATACCAAATAAAATGATATTTTGTATAGATAGTGGTTTGGTATAGTTTACATATTTTGCGTATCGATTTTAATGTGAATTCGGAACCTTATAGTCAAATCCTAATATTACTCTCTTACTAACTGAGCAACTGCAGTTTCATGTATTTAGCTTTCAGCAACAGGTATTTATTAAAAGATTGATGGTAATTAACTACAATATCATTTCAAAAGCATAAACTAACGAGCAGTACCATCTAACAATTCAAAAGGTACTTCACAATTTATTTTGACATATAGCCTTAGCTTAGAAAAGTACACAATTTTACATTTAACTCATAAAGTACTTTTAATTGTAATCAATAATATTTGTGTCACGAAGTTATATAGCAATATTTATTTTAGTTTCGTTATTGTAAACAGTTAAACTTTGTCTGAGTGAAGAGAAGATCATTAGAAGTTAAGTTCAGTAGAGAACATCGAATCAAACATATTAATCCTATTGACAAACTTGTAAACAATCTGCAAATGTACTTTTGTCAATAAAAAATATCAACACCACAGTATTGCTAAAAAAACTTACTCTTTGATATTTATTTCCTTCATGACAAACTACATGACGTTTAAAAAAAATTTGTTGAAATCGAATAATGATTGTAAACAGTCGAAGTACTCAACAATCGGCTAAAGAGATATATATTTATTCATACTTATACTAAGAATAAGATAGTTATTTCTATCGTGAATGATAGTTGTAATCAAGATCTTGTGTTCACACATATTTTTAAACAAAATTGGTGGTACATACATAAATATGTGTATTGTAACTAGTTTCCAGAACTCATTTTAATTGAATTCAATCTAAAAATTGAGCTCATTAAACACTGTAAAACAGTCCTAAATTCATAATCCTTGATAATACTGTTCAAGTGTTAAAATCTTAGTGAGTGAAGAAACATTAGAATCCATGACTCTAGAGATTGAATGGTCAATCAATACATAGTTAAAGCACAGATGCATCCAGAATTTCTCTTCTAACTGTAGGATACCCAGTTAAAATGTATATTTATCAATTCATGTGTATTTGATAACTGAGATGAATAAGTGGTGACAGCTATATGTAAACAGATTGCTTTGTAGATGCATAACTAATTATTTTTTATATTTTGTATTGATTATATCAGTAGGCAGAAGAAACCTTAATTGCATCTAGGTTAACTTATGCACACAGACAAACGAATACAAATACAGAGAATTCACTACAATGAATCATTGGTTAATGTGACCAAATTTCTCACCAGTATAAAATGTACAATCGGAAAGTAGCAAAAAATAGAAACACGAAAACAGTAAAAATAATTAATTCTTCTCAATTGTAATGAATCTTAGATCATACTGACCAGAATATTTACCAATCTTTATTCATAACACCTTAAGGACAGTACTGAAGAAGCCTAAATCTTTTTTTGCCATGCATGTGAATAATCAATATTTTTATAGATTGTCGTTACGTCTTTGTCCGATAATTTTATTACAGTTATAGATATGTACAGAACGCTCTACAGAGTATGACACAAACTATGATAAACATTTTAAATATCATACTAGTATCATAAGCGCAATACGTTGGAATATATATTGCGAGCTCATTTGTTACTCAAATACAGATGTTAATATTTCCAGAAAATTAACTAACGTGCCCTAAGAGTTTACGCTAATGTGATTCACTAAAATAAATATTGTCTTGTTTTCATTTCTGTGGTTGATTTTAAGTGCTGGCTAATGGTATTATCAATTTTCCTACACTGAAGTAAGTTTAGTGAGGCACATTGTTTAAAGTATTGGTCAACATATTCTGATGCTATTTATCATTAGTTTTGTTCAATAGTCAATTTTTATGTAGTATTAACAAAAAAGTGAAGAAAAGTAGACTGATGCATCCGCTTGAATAACCATCCAGATCTCTTTTAAAAGACAAGAATATACCTATTCAATCACAAATAGAACAGTCTTCTTTCTTAATCTCATGAACTGACTTAAGAAATTTTTTGATTATTTTCAATTTTAATAATCTTAAACTCTTTTAAAATGTTTAGTAGATGAATAAAATAAATCGACAATAAGAGACTCTGTCAAAGTAACTTAATCCCTTGAATGTATTCCTGATGAACAAAATATCATTCCTAAAAATACATTTTATTGGAGCAAAATTTCAAATGAGAATAATTATAGTGATATCGGATAAATATTTTACAGATCAAATAGAATGAAACCATCATTTGAACATATTTATTTCCCTTAATCTAAGCCACTCTGTATATATATGGAATAACATTAAATTAATCATACTTACCCATTTGTTGTATAAAATGTTGTCCCCAATGTAAATCTAATTCAGTTTTCGATGATAAATTTGTTGAACATAATGTACAAGTAAATGTATTTGTATTATCTGAAAAATCCTGTTTAAGAATTCCTTTATTAATAGGATTCATAATATTTGGTATATTGATACCAGAAATAGTATTAGTAGAAGTAATACCAATGGTTGAAGGTGTTATTGTATTCGTTGTTGTTATCGGTAAATGATGCAATGATCCATCCATATTACCATTATTATTATTATTATGATCTAATGATTTAATAAATTCATCTGCTAAACTAACTGGTAAAAATTTACTTAATAAATTTAAACCATAAGGAAATGGAAATTTATTTGATAAACCAGTAAGTTTTTTATTATCAAAATCGAAAAGATTTTGCGTAGAATTTAAAAGTGACATTGAATTCGCATTATTATTATTATTGTCTAACTCATTAGTATCTATATTGTTGCTAAGAGGATTGTTAATATTATTTTTATCAAAATTTTTATTATTATGTTCTGATGATGAAAGTTTTAAGGTATTATTATTAATTATTGATTTATTATGAAGTAATTGACTTGATAAATGATTTTGTTTTAATAGATTACAATCAGTTGTTATACCTTCTGTTATTGTTGTTATTGTTTCTGTTACTGTCATTGTTGATAATGATGTTGTAGGTAATGATGATGTTGGTAGTTTTATAGTATAATCAGTAACTTTAATATCATTTGATTTTGTAATTGATATATTCATTTCCATGCTATGTTCCACTGTTTCATGATCTTGTAATTGACTGGAATGTAGAAATTGACGTGGACAAAATCGACATGAATAACTACGATTATCACTGCTACGTTTAGTATGTGTATTCTTATGACGATTTAATGAACCTTCAAGAATAAAAATAAATTTTTAGAAAAAAGATATTTGTATATCTCGGAATTGTAAATAATTACTCATCGTTAAGCCGTAAAATAGATATCTTAGTTCTCTTTTCAGCAATAAAGTTTAGTGGCAGTATAGAGATAATGGATGTGTCATGAAGCCTTCAGGTTCTATGTCTTATCCCTCGTAGGGGGATACATACTACTGAAGAGTCCCAGACTAGGACAAAACAATCATCTAGTGCCCTTGATTTTCAGTAGTTCCTCACTTGATATCAACTCATGACGAAAACTAGATTAAGGTTGGCAATAAATCGGAGTATATACTCATTTTTATTACACTTTTATCAAACTGTACACTCGTTTGGTTTATGAATTCTGTTGAAAGATTTCAATGAGTTTAACTTCTACGAAATATCCAGAAAAAGTTAAAAACTGACGTAAATTATTGACCAAATACAGGTTAATTAACTATGGTTTAAAGTATACTTTTGATCTAAGGATCAGTGGTACTAATTGGCTGTCAAAACCAAAGTAGTTGGAACCGAGTTCGAACATGACAACTGAGTAGATAAAAGTTTGAGCTATTCAACTAATAAGTCACTTCTTCTTAATAACTGATACTGAGTTCATTTAAGTGAGTTTCCTTTTTGTGTTTATGTGAATAAAATAGAAGTGACTGTAATGTATATTATTTTTTTATAGATGCCATTGGTTGTTAATTTCGAATAATGACGTTTTTAATGTCAGCAAATGTCTTAGTTGCTTGATTTAGAAGTGACACAATTGGCAGACAACTATCGCTGTTTGAGTGCTAATTGATTATAGAATAAATCAATGGAAAATAACCTAAATATAAGTTGTTGATATAATAAAAAAATGAGACTTTCAGTTAGCAAGTAATCCATTGAATAACATTATACATTAGAGACAATTACAAAATATTGATCATTGGAAAACATATGTCTAGCATGAAACGAAATCAGGCTTATACAGTAAACACCAAATAACTAAAATATTCCCATTCCATGGAAAGTCCCAAACAGATAGTTCCTATAACATTCTGTAGTATACCATTATCTACGGTCCAAAGATGAGCAATCACTACACTATAGTATAGTACAGCTTAACAAACGAGGTTGAAGTAATGACCAAAATAACTTATTTCTTAGAAGATAACCATAATCTAAACATTCTCTGAATATAGTTCAATCCGCGACTTACTATGTTAGAGTTGAATTCACGAGTCGAATTAAGTTTGACCACCATGGAAAACCTAGAAGTATTTGATGGCCTTCTTGTCCTAGTATGGAACTCTCAGACAGTGAGACCCACGATCCTACACGTAGGGATCGAGCCCAGGACCCTAGGTCTGGGGCGCGAACCTCTGAACCACTGAGCCAGCATCCAACGATGTTGATGTCTAACTTCAATCGATACGTGATCTTGCACAACCCTTCACCCATAGTGGTCTCGCTTAAACCGACTCGTGAATTCAACTGATAAAATAGTACAATCTCCAAAAATACCCATACTTTACTATTTGTAGAGAGTTTCTTGTTGACTAAATAGTGTTTATTCTATGAGACAATTGAATGCTTTTTAGAAAGGCGAGCATTGAAAGGGGGAATAAGAATCTGAATAGTGTGAAATATGTTCGATCTACCCTGTGTTGTGGAAGATTTTCTTAAAACGAACTATGTGGTACAGAGGTGATATAGAGGCTTTAGCCAACTTGTTGTACCACATATGCAAGTATATAGAAATTTATTGAGTCTGTGAAGAAGGAACAGAGTCTAAATGAATAAAAATCGAACATTCTATTGCAGGAATTCAGTAACAGAACATAAAAGGAAAGCATAAGGAGGTAGCAGTACGCATCAAATTGGTCAAAGATTACGAAAACATATTGGCGGCATAATTTTATTGTAGTAATAGTTTTTATCAACGTGTTGAGTAGTCAGGGTTAGAATATTAAGTGTAAATGACGCTTACTTACATATTTATGCCCATTATCCCTCTCAGACTGTCGATAAATATAAAAAAGTAGTACACAACTTAAAGAATGAAAATTAGCTTGCGTAATGATCGAAAGGCAAAAGGTGGGTAATTAGTCTATAAAAATGTACATTGTTAGTATGAAATCCAGAATATTTTTGAAGTCACCATGTTCATCCTTTTCAACTATTAACATTAACTATGACTTAAAACTAAAATTCTGCTCTCAATCTGTGCTCATTTATGTTACCGAGACACTATGAATTTCGTTCGTTCAAACCATAATGTATGTAACAAATTTGAGATCAGATTTCACATGGTAGATTACAGTTTAGCAAAATTATTCTTATTTTATGTTGATTAATTTCTTTGCAGATTACCATCACAGTTGAGTGAATGACCTTGAGGCCAAATGACTCAAAAGACCAACTATCAACTAACAGACATAGGCTGAAAGAAAAACAGAACAATGAGTGTTATATATATGTAATAAAGACTGATGTCGTAAGACCAAATAATGAGTGATTATGTGACTTTTTTGTAAACGAATGACCTACAGACATCTAACCGAAAATTTGATTAGTTCATTTGAATACCAGCAATGAAAATTGGATATTCTCTATGACTAATCGAGGTATTTTATTCAAATCTCAGTGGTCATTTGATCTATAAGTCATGAAAATTAGGTTTGGTTACTTTTAAAAGACTAACTGCAAGTCTTAGGGATGTTTTAGAATTACTATTTAAACAAAGAAACTTTTAAAGTGGGTCGATTTTAGGTTGCCATCTGGCATATTTGCAATGCATGGTTTGTTACGTACTAACTAGATGGAATAAATAGAAAGAGTTTTAATTGAGAACGTGAACTGGTCAATGTTAGACCCCCGCTGAAAACTTGGAAGTACTGGGTAGTTGCTTCGTCCTATTATGGGACTCCTCAGCAACGCGCATCCACGATCCCTCATGCGGGGTTCAAATCCATGACCTTCGGTCTTGCGGATGAACGCTTATTTACAATTACTGTATACTAGTGATAGTTTACTTCATCAATGTAGCTCAAATAGAGAATGTGGTATACGTAGTCATTGTAGGAAGGGAATATGTTTATGAAGAAAACAGGTTACAAACTAAGAGTTTACTTCAATGCAATCAGTTAACATTTGTGTCATATATATAAAATGGATTCAGTTTGTTTGATAAGATTATATTCAATGGGTTTTTTCTTTAGGGAAATAGGAATGAATTCAAAATGTTTGTGGAAAATAGTTAGACCTTTGTAAAAGATTTAATGCATAGTAATTAGTAATGAGTATTTGGAATGACGTTCGACAATCCTTAATACTGAGAAAACCTTCATGGATATTTATCTTGAAGCTTTTCATTCTATGTTGAAATGAATTTAACATCTGAAGACCGCAGTAAATTTTTCAAGTTCATAAGCTATTTTGAGTATAGCAGTAAAAAGTCATTTATGAAATTTGGTTAAATTTCTTAGTCAAAAGAATACGTTCACTCATTATACTTATATGTTTGTTCAAAATAACGATCAAGCATACATCCCGGTGCTAAAGTTATTTAACTCGAAACTGAGAATAATTTCAGTGACCTTTGGTTAACGCATTTCTTCAAGATTATCAAATGTACTTTCCTATTGGGTAAAGTCGCTCAATCAATTTATGGTAACCTAGTTACACTCAGACATCATATCTTTGATTCTTTGACTTCATTTGTTCCTCTCAAACTATATCTCTTATGTTTAGCTTAACACTGCCAAGAACATTTTTTTCAATTCTATGTTTCTATTCCCGTCAATTCGCTCTCTTGTTATGCTGATGTAATGTCCAGTAAGTTACATTGAAGAGAGATCCTAAACCGCCCTTGATTAAATGAAATATATCCTCAGTGAACTTCATAAATTTCAATGGTCAGTTTTTTCAGGGAAACTCCGTGACATTTTGTTATGTGATATACAACAATACATTACACTGATTGTACGCAGAGTTCCTTCTGACTTGAATACTAGTCCATGTATGACTACTAAAATATGAATTGGATAGTTCTGGGTATTACTAGTTAGCATACCGAATTCAATTACTTCTAGTTATCACGTACTTCTATTGTCTGTTGATCTTAGGAGTTAATACATTTTCCAATTCGTACTTAATGGTGATCTGTCAACCCCTAAAAATCAGCAACCTATTTCTCATAAAAATATTTTGTAAGCATATCTTAAGGATTTTAAGGAAAAGGATCAAAATAAGCTGTAAATATCGTCGCACTTTTTAATGGAGGCATGAGAATTAATGTTAAGATCTCTGAGGAGTATCGTTTACATAGGAACAGCATTTTTTAGATTTCTTAATGTTGAAGTCAGGATTTTTTATGTCATGTTCAACATCAGATCTGTTTATAGATAGACAGTGTATAAAACATAAATAATGCAAGCAATTTTAAGAGGTATAGTGGTAAGATCAGTTTTTCTTAGCAGTTCAGAGGTTAGGCCAATTAACCTCCTGCCAATAAGTGACAGGTTTGAAACCCCTCTATATCAATCAGATGGTATCATTATAATTTACCATCTGTCCAGTATGAAATTATGTTGACTAATGCATCATAACTGAATATAAATTAACGTACTGATCTTAGCTTGCGATTCCCAAGGAACATGATTAGATAACACTCTATTACTTGCAGCCATAGGTGCTCAATCAGAGTTTCAACGAAGAAACAAATACCCTGGAATGTCGGTTCATCTATGGAACAAATTCCAAATTAGCTAAAACGGGTTTACTAGATTTTAGTACAGGTGACTGTTGAATAATGTGATCTTAAATTTCATTACCTAATATTTTTATAATCCCCAAACATACGGATGCAAACATACATTAATATCATAAAATAGTATCATTCATAGATGGGTTTCATATTCACTCAATTCACTGCTTAATTAAAGTTTGAAACGAGGTTGAAATTTTGTGGCAATTAGAAACTATAAAATATAGAAAATGGATTACTCTTATCTATTTGTAGGACAAAATGATATTGTTTCTTTATATAGGATATTATTTGTAAAGTTAAACAGTGATTTGTCATTTAGATCTTTCCACCTTTAATCAATAAGTAACAGACTCGTACTTCAACTTAAGCAGTCAAATGATATCAATAACTTTCATATAACTAAAGAATGGTTCAAGGTAAAGTACATTATTGCGCAAAATATTGTTAAAGATTAAACTACTATTTCCATTAATTTAGCTGGAAGGTCTAATTCAATATTAGTTACCTTAGTCATTATACATATATTTATACATATAATAGAAATATACTCATAACATACCACTTTGATTAAATGCTTTATTGCATATTTCACAAACATATGGTTTTTCTCCAGTATGTATTCTTTCATGAACTTTAAGAACATTCATTAAACTAAATGCTTTATTGCAATAACGACATATAAATTTTCTTGGTCTTTTATCATCATTATTATTAGATTTTGAATAAATTGATTTACCAGTATCTTTGGTTGTATTTGTTAATTGTTTTAATGAATCATCAGAATCATTTGGATTAGAAAGAGAGTAATTAAAATTGAATGTATCCATTTTATTAGATTGATTCAAATCATCTTGATATTCTTGATCATCGGTATCTTCAGTTATATTATCACCGTCATTTTGATCAATCATCATGTCTTGTATATGACGATGATATTGTTCATCATCTTGAAAACTATAATCATTATTATTGTCTAATTCATGTTCAAATTTCTTTTCTTTATCAGTATCATTTGAAAGTAACTCAATTTTGGATGGAGTATTTGGTGAATAACTATTACTGATATTCATTGTATCAATTACAGCAGTATCTCCATCGCCAGTAGTGATATCAGGAATCGTAGTAGTTATGGGAAATGTTTGTTGTTCATTCATATTAAACTGATAATAAAGTAGTATAGTTCAACGAATTATTAGTTGATAATTTTTTGTAATGGGTGAGGAAAAATATTTTGATTTTTCTTTTTCTGTTAGTCCCGTTCGTCCAGGCTGTTATTTTTGCGTTACAACTACAACTACCATAACCATGTACTCACAAAAATTACTTATTTACAAGTCATGTAAGTGAATATACAAAGAGAGGAATTTTTAAAAATTTATTTAATAGTTTGAATTTTTATCCAATGAAATACAGATGTCCCATGGATTACGATAAGTCCGAATGAAGTTTAGCACATTGTAGTACGGACAGTCATAATTTTATTCGAGAAAGTGCCTGATAAGAGTATGTTTGAACTCATGTTTAATTTGTGTATAAATGCATGTTTTTAAGGCAAGCTATGTACATGTGCATTGTGTATGTTTGTTTATGTCCCAACCATTGAGTTAGCTAACTTACAAGGTAAGGTAGTGAGTGATGTGTGTAGAATACAATGTATATATGTAGTCACTGCCATATCGATTGGAGCAGTAATATAATATAGGGTGGAGTGACAGAATGAAAATGGGATGAAAGCACGTCCCCTTACCTGAATTTGGTAGATTAACTCACTTACTCTGCATGCGTACATGTGATTTGTTTTGCCTTACAATGACTCTGACCAAACGTTTACTGGATTGACAGAGTGAGATGAGAAAAATGTCACGGTTAAATTAGATATTAGGGGGAGAAGTACAGACTGTAAAATGTATATTCCCATCATTGTCACCACCACCACCACGTCTGTGTGTTTATGTGCTCAACCAAACTCACTCAGATTATTGGTGTATGTAATTTTAAATATGGATAGTTTAAAAGCTCAAAATGTATGGACCAGATTTATGAACTTTCAATATTATTTTGCTGAAAGGTCATGTCAGTGTGAAATGTTGATGTCATAAGATTATTACTACTAGTTCGAAATTTCTGTCCATTCTCTCTATCGTCTACATGATTCTATATATATATGATGTAGAGAGTAAAACTCATGGATTAATAAAAGAAAAAAGAAAAACAACCCTAAAAATTGTTGATAGATTTCTGATTCTTGGACTATCAATTTTCTTTTTGATGAAACATAATAATTTACTAGTAATTCAAAAATATATTAAGCTAAATAACAATGTAGAAAGAAAGGAAGTAGACGAATTACACTGCATTGTTCAGAATTCGGTTTCCATTAGGTAGAGTAAGTTAAGACATTTTCGGTTGTAATTTTAAAAGAATAGTCAAAACTTTACTGCTGATCTAATGTACAGTTTATGATTCAAAGGAAGTCTTGAAAACGACATCAAGAGCTTGTAGCCAGTTCAGATAATTAATTGGAGTTGATCAACTATTTTTTTCCTATCAAGATTACCAAGTACAGATTCATTTTCCAGATGTTGAAGTAACATTTATAGGTTAAAATGTACCATGAATTTGTAGTCGAATCAACGGAAAGCTAATGTTTAAACAATGCAATTACAACTCTGTGTAACGTAGATAGATTATGTATGTCAACTACTAAAAATAGTTTCTGAGGTTAGTAGAAACGTATACATCCTAATGTAAATCTAATTAATGGTTTCTTTCATCTTATTTCTTTGAAGACACAAGAGGAAATTACCATACGAATGACACAACAAGTCATCAAAACAGGACGGACAGTAAACAGTTACGAATAAATACAAATAATAGCTTATCAGTATTTAAACGTTTTACACATAACTTCTAGAGTTAAAATCATAAACTGAAATTCTCGTTGCAAGTTTACATATTTTGTAATGGGAATTCTTTATTGTAATTGAACATATGGTATTGAATAAAGCTATTATTACTATTATTAATATTACTTTTATTTACATTCAACATAACTGATTTTATGTTCAATGCAGATGAATGAAATTCTATTTCAGGATTTCAATTGTTTAAGCCAATTACTATAAGTATAAAATTGCATATACATAAATTAATGATTGTTCATGATAAACAGATTATTTAGTCAGACAATTCATGACAAATCCACTTTTTCTTACTATTACTCTCCTCCTAATTCATTATTCATAATTTGAATACATGAAATACATCATTTTAAAGTACTTGAATCCGTTCTGCTTCATTAGAAGTTAACTAGAACTTCATACAGATCATGTATATGTAGTTGACTTGATAATCGCATTTCTGATTGTATGTTTTGAAACAACATCTCTTTAACTGATGTTCTTTTTTTACAAAATATTTTTTATTTTAAAGTGAATATTCATAACGTTTAGGTATAATTTTTTAATTTGAGAGATGAATTATACAAAATAGTACAGCTTTATTCGTGATAACATAAAATAAACAATTGAGAATAGCGGACAATAACGGTTATCGGTAATGAACAAACATTTCCAATAATACATTTTTGTATCGGTTGTTTGAATCTTCCCATTGATGTTTGGGACTGCAGCAGATCAGTCTCTTATTGATATATGTGCATCATGTGAGGATTGTTTCGATATTATTTTAGGTCACAAGCATTATAAGCACAAGGTAATGGCTAACTGGACTCAGTAGCTAAGTGGATAACGATGGCATTTGAAGCAAACAGTGCTGCGTTTGAGTCCCTGAGTGAACACCAATTATGGGATGCAAGTACATCCAGCTGATGAGTCTCAAATAGGATGGTGATTATTAAATCTTTGAAATGCAACATTAGCAACACTGTAAGACAGAAACGGCCTTTGATTTGAAGTTTTTGATTGATTGACTGTTTGGATCAATACCTTTAATTGGGGAGTTGTAGTTAGTTAGAATCTAATTGAGCTGAGTATCTCATCGGGGGATTTACTCCAACAGCGATTCCAACCAATTGATCGAGCTGCTCACTACAAAAATAACTAGATGAAAGTAACAACAGTGAACTACAAAGAAAAATAGTTTTTGAGAGAACAGAGAATTATTTATGCAGTCATTTAAAACTAAACCGTTCTAAATAACTATTTTGTTTTATGTTGGAACTTGAACTTAGAACTTTCAAATGCGTGTTCACTCAATCACTAAGTATAAATTCAATGGTTCAACACAATGTGACCATCAATCAGTTATGGAAATCATTAACATCTTGCTGTTCTACAGTTAATTTATTGTTATACAATAGTAACCCTTTTTTAAATTTTCGCATGGTATAGTTATTATTTGTGCTGAGTTTCCACCGATATTCTGTTAAAAAGCGTAAATCTAGTTAGTATAAGACTATTATGTCAATTTCAACAATGTTCATTGTCAGTCAACATTATTCGAGTTGGGTAAACTGTGTATATTTCTCCACTATCAGAACTTTTTTTTTAAAATACTGATTTATTTGATGATAGTTTAAATTATTGTCAGTTGGTTCATCTTCGGTGTTTAACCGATTAATATTCATCAAATGATTACAATCTTCACATTAAATGAGTTCATTTGAGGGTCATAGGGCACTAGTACCCTTGAACAACTCATAGCAGTAATTCATTATCGACCAGTCCAAGATAGAGAAATAAAATCAAATAATTTTCAATGATGTTTAACCATTAGTCTATCAATAATCAAATAGTCCATAGCCACTTATTTAAAACTTACACTTTTCATAGGGCATAGCCTTTCGACCAAAAATTCTCAAACAACTTCCTGAGCTTTCTTTTCTAGCTGCTACCAAATACTAATAATGGTTATGCCGTTTGCCTCCGATTTCTGTACATTATATGTACTGCTTTTAATTGATGCCCTGATTGTTGAAAAGGTCATCTATCTCGTGCTCAACCCCATGTCTGAACTTCGTTCTGACAATAACACCACAAGGGCCCCAGATAGAATTACTATTGCATATAGCTGATTATAAATAGATAAATAAGTGAGGAATCAACAGCAAGACAGTAACATTCAATCGTAATACCATTTAGCCGTTATAAACAACCTCAATTATCCGTATTTGGAGCAATATTCATTTACTAAGCCATTAAAGTTACGTTTGATATCCTGAAAAACAAAAATTAGTTTACACGAATCTGCTACCAGATATTACATCTCATGGTCATTCAAAATTACTTTTTTTAAAACATTTTAATACCGTATTTTCTATTGAATCTAGTCTCTTTGTTACGTAATTCACGAAACTTATACGTTAGCATCCTGTCTGTAATCAGTGTTCGAAGAATACAGAGACAAGTAAACTAAACTGAATTAGTATTTGAAATTCAGGGAGATTGTTGAATTTGATTTTTCACATGATAGACTAAAGCGTTCCATATAAGGGTGAAAAGGTTGTCCAGTATTTTCTGTTTTTTTGGTGTTTATCTACCTAGAATCAGCCCTCAGTGTTTACTTTAAGTTGAATGGAAAAAAACCTTATGGTTACATAAAATGTTATTTAATCAAATCTGATATAGACAAACCAATCAGAATAGATTAGATAGTATTGTAGTAAACAAGAAGACGAGTGGAGACAATCGAATGAATTTGAGTATAAAGTTACAGAATTTCTCATTAGAATCTTACAACCATATAGTAAACAGTTAATTTGCAAACTATCAATCGTCTCAATCTTGACTGTTCCTTCTGCAAATATCAGTCCATCGTCTCTGATTCAATTGTTCATGCATTTTCATACCAATTACGTTTCGTTTCCGTTCTTTCGTTATCCATCTTCTGCTGAAATACATACTGTGCCTGACCATCACCGTATACTACTTATGTGGATATAAGTAACCGACACTACAGTAAATGGTACTTTTCAAAAGTCTATTATCCAAGTGATATCGTTCTGACTTCAGATGAAATTAAAATAAGGATCAAGAACAATAATCAATGTTTTACTTTATCGAAAATACACATTTTTCCCTTGGAAGAATCATAAGTAGATTGTATGGAAAGAATACTTTGTTCTTTAATATCATGAGAATTCTTAATGAGTTACAAGAATTTATTATATACAGAAATACTATCTTAGCAAAATTTACCCGATACCATTTCTGTCCACAATTATATGAATATTTATATAATTCGAAGATAACTCTACACATTGATTAAAATCATCACTGAGTTGGTGGATTTCGTAAATTTATGGTGACAAACTGTAACTTATGGTAAAAAAGCCTTACTACTAGCAACATAGTTATTTATCATTAGATTATATTAGATAACTCTTGCGATATTTTTTAATGAACTGAAGCTGAAAGTAAGAATCATTAGGTTCTTAATCAATGATTGTATGATAGTATTCTCTGTTCATTCATGTATATTGTATCGAGATCACCGTGTCTAATATGAAAACAGTTAAGTAACGTGTCCTTTGTTTCCATTGGATCTGTAGCCGAGTTTAATCTATAATGGAAAGTTATTATTATTTTAAATCATCCTAGAAAGTAATTTATCATATGAAGCAACAAAACAATAACTTGAACACTATTCTTTTTTAAAATCACACTTTAAACTTCACCACATT